TATACACTGCTTGTTAGTTCTAACCTGAAGAGAAACAACTTCCGAGTGTTTTTTGACTTTCTCCAGATAATCTCTAACGATAACGAAAGCTTTCTTAAAATACGTTTATGAGAATTTATAAATTTCAAAACGAATATTCTAACTACGTTGTAGATCAATTGTAAATCACAAGGTTAACAATAAGGGTATAAGAATGGACATCATAGGGTGAACATAATCATAATGTATTCTTCAAAAGAAATTTTTTTATAGGAGTTTACATATATTTAAATATCTATTTACTTAACACCTAATTAACCTTTACCATTCTTTTATTTATGATATATATATATATATGTCCAAAATCCAGATCACTGATTTATTCGGATACATATCATATCTACTAGTTAAAATAACCATATAACATCAAAGCTGTACAACAAAATATTAAGAAATTCGTCTTTTATTGTTTTTGTGTCTTACTTTTTAAAATGACTTAACTGACTATATTCTATCAAAAAGCAAGCTATAAATGAATAATGATTATCATAGTTAAAATCATGAGTCAATTGACGCTAGACCACCAAGGAAAACGTGGAAGCACTGGATGGCTATTTCGTTCTATTGTGCCGGCTCATTGCTCTATCGGTTAAGTGCTCTGGTATGAAATTTGTAGGTCCTGGGTTCGAATCCCGCGAAGCGAGATCGTGGATGCTCACTGCTGAAGAGTTTCACAATGGGACGAAACGGCCGTCCAGTGCTTCTAGGTTTTCCATGGTGGTCTAGCTTTAAATGACTCATGATTTCAATAGTGAAATCTCCACAAAACCCCTTCTGAATAATGATTAATTACCTTGACAACCTTAACAGAAATATATTTTACAAAGCTCTAAAAATAGTTTACCATCTAATGTTGACTAGTAAATTTTTAGTTTTACAAAGACAATTTTATTTATTTTGTCCATAAAGAATCCAATATTATTCTGTTTTATTTTATTGGTCAGATTAGTTTGGCAAAAAAAATATTTAAAAATAAAAACAAACTCGGTCAGGCATCATCAAGAATTGATCGATTATTGTCTAATGATTCCCATATTTTATTCAATATTCCCCCCTTTACATATATGTCTGTCCTACTAATTTTTTGTTCAATATTGTTCATTCAAAGTTTCTAATTATCGCGTCAATTGATACAAACTATTCTATTTGAATAAGATGCTTTTTATAGTAATGGACATTTTATTATGATTGGATAATTTAGAAAAAAAGATTTTTTTTTGTTTTTTTAATATTTTGGGAATCGAAATGTGCTTATAAAAGCTCATTAGATTAGAAATTTGACAACAGGATAAACCAAAAAAAAAATTATAATAATCAAGTTTTCTCAATTAAAAGTTTACAATTGGATTGTATTATTGAATAAATAAATTATTGAAATTTCATTTATCTAATTATATTCATTAAGGATATATCATAATGTCTGAATATTATGAAGGTGAGAAATGTTAATTTTTTAATAAAAATTTATATTTTCTTTTTGTTTAAACTAAAAACTGAAATAAACTGTAAACTGTCAATGAACAAACTAGATCTGTTATTTCATATTGGTTAGATAGATAGCGAATGAAATAGACTTTACCATTAAAAAAAGAAACTGTTTCTATTTATTGTTTGATTTGTTTAAAACAACAAAACATTTTAAAAAACGAGTTTTAAAAGCTCTAAGTATTAATGTGCTATATCTCATTACAAGCTGCAACAGAGTTGTTCACAGACAGTCAGTCAGCCAACTACAGCGTAGGACCAGACACATAGATGTATCGGTTCAAGTTGTCATACCTCATCAACACAACAAGTTGAACACCGAATTCATAGAAGTAGTTACTCCGATGACAGTAATATATAAAAGAAGGAGTGTATATAAGAATATAGTACAGAAAGAAAGAATTAGTTCGTAGAAATAAATGTATAAAGCAAATATAATCTCACGGTTTAACGGAAAATAGTGTATACACCTACACCATTGTAATCGATTTTGAGCCATGTCACCCACAGTCTCCAACCATTGGTTACGATAGTCACGCGGACCCCAACCAGATGGTCTGCATCTGCCAACATGGCTCAGACTAGAAGTTAGTGACATCAAGCACTGATGTCACGTTTTGGTTTGGCCGCCCCTAACTCTCTTCCAACGATCCCCTACACTAGTCAACATTGCGCGTCGTGGTAATTGGTGTTCAGGCATACGTAACACGTGGCCCAACCATCTCAGTCGATGAAGATTCATCACCTCATCAACTGATTTACCATCATTCCCAAATACCCTGCGTCTAATATCACTATTACTTACCCGGTGATCCCAGCAGATGCGAGCAATATTTCTAAGGCATCTGTGGTCAAATACTAGTAACCTACGAGTATCTTCTACTCTTAATGGCCACGTTTCGCAGCCGTAAAGTAGAACAGAGCGAACTGCTGCGCAGTATACTCGTCCCTTAATTGATAGACGGATATCTTGTCTTCGCCATAGGTGACGTAAGTTAGGAAAGGCAAAACTATGATGACGAGAAAGTTATTTCCTGCAGTAGGTCTATCATGTGGTTAAACAGAAATAAAAATAGTGGACAGCCTTGTTGGACACCACGTGAGGTAGCAAAATCAGATGACAGTTCGCCATAAGCTCTCACTCGACTGGTAGTGTTCGAGTAAATAGCCTTCATAAGGTTTACGTACTTCTGAGGTACATCTTTCGTTGACAGTCACTGCCACAGAACCTCTCGGCTTACAGAGTCAAATGCTGCTTTCAAGTCAAGAAAAACTATCATTGTCGGACGCCGATAAGCATGCCTGTGTTCTAACACCTGACAGATAGTGAATACATGGTTCAGCCTGATTTTTTCATGTTTGCAGTTCACGAGTCTTTGTTAAGCGTCCGATAATTATTGAGGTTAGCATTTTAGATTCTATGTTAATCAAACTAATCACTCTGTGGTTATCATATGATGATTTTGACGTCTTGTTCACAAATTAGTCACCGTTATGTGTATATTGTTATATTACAACCACTAGATAAACATTATCTTGTGACAAGATACTCATACACTCAAAAGAGCATTCTTTCTAACTAGTTGATATGCTTTAGAAATGATGCATAGTCTTTTGGCTGATAAAAACGTCATTTTTGAAACCCAAACATATAAACTTTCAATATGTAATTAATATGTAGTGTATTATACAGCCTACTCTTACTCGAATTAGTGTCAACTTATAAGTAACATCACATTTCACAGTCTCCAACATAATAACTGTATTTATGTAAAACTCAATAAACTAAAACTAGAAAGGATATTCGCAACTTCGGAAGAAAAATAATATCTGGATAATTATGGCAAAAAAACAGTCTCTTTGGTATTAGTCATTCTGATGAACATATGGTAATTTTAAGTTAAAATTGAAGAATAAAAACAATTGCATTACTCGGGTGATTTTCATTACAAACTGGTTTCAACTAGATGACCGTCATAAACCAAGAAGTACTGAACGGCTATTTCGTCTAGTTCCAAACACCTTAGCAACGCACATTCACAATGTCTATATGAAATCGAACTTCAGAACCTCAGAGTTAGTACAATTTGACAGATGAGTCAACTTCTAACAGGTCTCATAACTAACTTCAATTAGATTTTGATGTGATACAATCCTCGTCGAATGATAATTGGTGAGTCACTATCTCACTACTCGTCTAAGTGGCTTCACAGGTCAAACCTATTTGCTTATAAGATTGGTCTCAAAACTAGTCACTACTCAATGCAGGATTGTTTTCATCAGTAGAAAACTGAAAACTGCATGTCATATGATAAGAAGTTTCAGTATATTAACAATGGCGGCAGATCATCATAAACAAAAGTTTGATCCATCTGAAATTATATCTTCAGAAGGCTGTTTAGACGTAAATAATAAACGCTTTTCGTAAATACAAGTAGCGTGCATTGATGTGCGAAAAATCTACCAGACTACTTTTCTGCTCGTAAAAATTTCAAGTCAATCAGAACTGACTCTATAAAATACGATTTTCAGGAAATGAAACCCAATCTTTTCAAGAAAACTGTTTAATTTTCATTTCTATTTTAGTAAGACTGTATTTAGTTTTTACGCTGACAAATCAATAAATTACAATACATGCGTAAACACTTATTCTGTTCAACATATATTCAGAACAACATACATATTTCATTATTTTTCTTTTAAAACAACAACGATTTTACATAAGTTTAAAAATTGTGTTACAATACTTGACCCCGATAGACAGCCTTTTAATTTTTAAAAAGTTTTAAAGGGAACAGTTGTCCGGTACAAATATTTACAATTATCAAAATGGTGATACCCATTCAAACCTATTTTTTGAAAAATAATTAAATCAAATATGCTGAATAAATTGTAGTCTGAAACATCACAACGAACTGAATTTTCATTAATTTTGTAAATATAAACTTAAATTTTGTTATAATCAAAGATGGATAGTGGAAAGCTGACGAGTCCCGAATAGGACGAAACGCACGTCAAACTGGATTCCACTGCTAGCCACTATCCATCTTTGCTTACAATGCTTGTGAATTAAGGCAATATCGATGCAATACGCACAGTATGCACATATGCCAATTGGAGACTGACCAGTTGCATTCCTAAACATCAATCGGAAGATTCAAACAAACAACACTAAGTGAATTTAAATTTTGTTTTAAAAATGAGAATATTTCATAGTTTTACATTTCAACTGTCAGCTAGGACTAATATTTTTTTAGTTTAGGCTATTAGTCATTATGAAAACGATAAACTTTCATACTGTTACATTTAGTCGAAAATAAACACAAGGATAATGCTTGAATCGCTGAAGTTGCTGTTAACGGAATTACCAATTTAAATATTTTATAAATAATATATTTAAATAGGATTTTTCGTAAAATCATTTATTTGATATACAATTTGGTTTATATATTACCTAAAATTCTTCCCCTAGTTACGTTTTTCACAGTGTTTTGTGTTTCGAAAAAAGTGAAAGATTCTAACTTATGCTTTGAGCTAAAATATGTCTGATGTAGTCATTACATCTAACACAAATGAAATGCACACCATGGTGACCATAGTAACTAAGTATGCAACCAATTATGTTGTCGATATAATTCGTTCGTTCACGATAATTTATAAATAAGCAGAATAAAATTTCATTGAGTTTATCTAGTCAGGCAGCTGTTGGGCCAAACTCACCATACAAAAGGAAAAAAATTTCAATTTGTCACTGACATTATGACCCTCATTTTTACTTCCTTCATTATTTGATTTACTTCAAAAATATCATTCTGTAAACGTATTGAGGTAATTATTTCAAATTTAATTAAATTCTTTAAAACGACCTCACAATTATTATGTAACCTATTTTAATAGCTGTTTCGCTTATACTACTCCTTTCTTATCTATTTTATGTAATGCAAATAACTCATCAATTGATAATCTTTACAATTGAATGCATTATTATTTATATCTTGTGATTGTGCAACACCATTCATATTTTAAACGTTGTCAATAAAGTCATTTTTGAAAATCTAAGACTAGGCTTTCACCGTTTACGACAAAACGCACCTACTTTACAAGTATTAAAGTGACCAGAATATATATATATATATATATATATATATATATATATATATATATAATGATATGATAATTTTTAGCCAATACTTAGCATTTTGTATGCAATCTTCCCAACTAGTCCCCCTCCACAATCCTCTTTAACCAATATTGTATGTTCAATCACAAAGATTTGAAATTTCCTTTGATACTTTCTAAAGATCTTTCTGATCATATAGACTTTTATTTTGTTTACAACATTAACTGTTCCTAATTTATGTATGAATTCGGTCGAATGGGTTAAACCTACGATGTACAAGAGTCTCATTCAGTTTTCTTAAGTTATCAAGATACTTCCGACATTATCTTAATGTAATTAATCTCAAACTTGAATACACACACGATGGGTTACTGCCAAACACAATGTGTGACAAAAAATAACCGACTTTTAATTCTCTTTTGTAATATCTATCTGGGAAGTAAATCGATTTATTGGTTCAATAGAATCGTCAACTTAATGAGATAATTGCCTCTTAGAAAAATCAGGGCAATCGAAATAAACTTTTATTCTATCAAATTTTTCAGCTAACACTATTGATGAAAATAACATTGCTCCACGGAATGACCCAAAATTTAGATGTTTTGACTTATACTAATCATTGCTTTTTTATAAGTATTACGACGTGTCAGTGTATAACTCAGTAAATGCACTCTTTTTAATGAGTTGTTTACCATTAAGACCTTATATTTAAATCAAACATTCATTTCAAAAGATGATCACTTCAAACCAAGAGACACTTAAGTTTGAACATTGTGTAGTATCGAATTCTTACACATTAACTCAATCCCAACATGATTACTTCTCTATATTGGGGTTCTTGTACTTAATTCTAAATAAAACACTGCGTTACATAACATTGAAATGAATATATAAAACTGTTATTCATTGATTTTTAGTTATAATCATAGAATGAAAATTTCTATAATTTTAAATTTGTAATATGATTTCACTTCAAAAATATGTTAACTATCAGGTATGTAATATAATTTACATTCACTGTTCAAATAAACAAACATTCATTTACCCTGGTACAATGTTTATAATTGTTATATAAAATTAATAATTACCAGTACAATTTAGTCTAATCGTATCATAATAGGAATTTTTTGAAAAGTAATTGAATATCAGTATACTAATTCGTGTAACGATTATAGACAGTTGTGTAATGCCAAATTATTATTATTATTATTGCTGTGCGTATGAATCATTCTTGAATAGTTATAACAATTACCCAACACTAACATCTGTTGGAAATTTACAATTTTAATTAAATCACAAAAATCTTTGCATTGAAAATATAAAGTAATGAATCCTGTTATCATTTCTACCATATAACTGACTCTGATTTAAACAATTTGAAAAACTTTACTTTCTGTCTATCTCTCTCTTTTCATGATTACTAAATGTTTGAAGAATCTGTCTGTCTTAAACTAAAATCGACCGATTTTCAACATCGTTTCATATGTTACTTTTTGATCTTTTATAAAGATTTCCACTGCGTTTCTAAATTTAATTCCTTCCATTCTTTTTATTGATTCCAAACACCTTAAACTTAATCCATAATCGTTTGACTTGACTTAACCAGAACATCAGGAAGCTAGATGAATGATCAGAGGTACCATTGATCACGGCTTATGTGATTATATGCAAGTAAAATACAAGACCATAACATCCCACAGTTTATAAATTTCATGTGATACTTTTCTGATGTAACAAATGTGTGTCAATGTATTTGTAATTTATGAACGGAAAAACAGAGGTAGTAGTAATTATTAAGTTAAAAGCCAACTATAAATTAAAACCGCGTAAAAATACTATAAAACAATTGTTTGATAAACACTCAGTGACAGTAAATAAACCACTATATTATGCAATAACCCTGTAAATAAATGTGGATCAATTCAGAATCATTTTAGTCTACTGAACGGTAGTCCACTTTCAAACACCAAATACCTAATGAATGAAGATAAGGGTCTAAATGGCTTGAGGTTAATCGCTTCAAAGTATATCCATGAATATGACTTTAAAAATAGTATGTTCTCATAGTTGTGTTCCAGATAAGGCATGTTTGAACCAATAATAGTCAGATACGTTTGGGTTCTAGTAATATACTATTATAACAGAACGATCGTTGTATTAAAATAGGGGGAAGACTTTGATGGTCGAACATTTCTGCTCATCAGCAAAACCCCCAATCAGATTTTTGTGAACAGAGTCATTGATGCACTGATTAAATAGAAGTTACAGAAATAAACCTATCGGTCGTGTGCGAAATATTCAACTGAGCATGACCAAAAGTTATATGTAAGATAACAAATGATGAATATATGTTATGTGTTAACCCGTTCGCACGTTAAAACAAATACTTATATTATTTATCAATAGTATTGCATATTCTAACGACCTTAAACCTCATAATAAGCTTTAAAGTGTATACTGTTTCCCTTTCATAATATTATTGTTCGAAACGCTTTATTAACTTTGAGTAACTTATGTTGTCTTTCCTTGCGATATAGATCTATCTGACTCTTTATTTTGACCTCGAAGTTATAAAATTTTGAGTAAGCTGATTTTTCCAATAGCGAATAGAAACTAATCGCCAAAACGTTGGTTAATAAATAGACTTTCGCCAAAGAATGGCCTTAATGTCAACCTGATTATTGAAGCCAAGTCTATTGGGTCTATTCCAAAACTAAACTATTCAGTCGCCCAAAACAATATTTTTAATTTATGTGATACAAAAGTATAATTTTACTACCACTATTACTATTGCTAATAATACTACTAATACAACCACCACTATTACTACAACTAATACTACTACTTCTTACGCTTGTCACCCCTCGGAGAACATAGGTCGCCAACCAAGATTCTCCAACCAATACTGTTCAGGGCTCTCCTTTCAACTTGCTACCCGTTTATTCCGTGTCTTCCTCGAATTCCCAAAGCATAGTGTTGTTAGGCCTTTCTCTTCGCCTTTTGCCTTCAGGATTCCAGGTTAGGGCTTGCCGTATGAAGCAAATTGATGATTTTTTCAATACTTGTCCTATCCACCGCTAGCGTCTTTTCTTAATTTCCACTTCAGCTGGAAGTTGGTTTGTTCTGTCAAGTTATATCCCTACATTTCTGTAGCTACTTGATTGGTCCTTCTAGTCTCCCAAATTGTCCGGAGATTCCATGTACCCATATTGATTGTTGCTCTCGTTATCTGAAGGGGCATCGGTCTCGCGATTTTTGAAGAATCTCGTCTTTCACTATGAGGTATCATCACTTTTCTACATGAAGAGCCTTCAACTCCCAGGACAGTTTCGATGGTTCAAATTGCTTTTTTCTAGTTAGCTTGTTCTAGCAAGGTTGCTTTCTAAGGAATGGAGTTTTGATCCCATGATCAAACCTCCTCCTCTATCTGGGCTTGAGATCGGTAGTAACCCTGGAAGGAACACAGACGGACTTATAGTTCCATAATAAATGAAAATTTTCGGATAGGAAAATGTCAAAAATGTTTTATTATAGAAGAATCACCGTCAGGATACTGTACATTACTCCATTATGAAGCTTATTTGTTTATTATTATTAGCGGCTTTGTCCAATATTATATTTTGGTGCAATACAGAATTCTCAGCACAAGGTATTTCAAGAAGTTTCTTTTACAAAAACAAAAAAAGAAGGGAAAAAGGTCAAAAAAATATCCAAATCTGTACAACTTTTCAAATTAGAGACATGTTTAAGAATAAAGGTTATTTACTAGGCTAACTCTAACAGCCTGTTCGTCACAAAGTATATTTTCCCAGAAAAAAATAATGGAGAACAACAAAGAACATAAGGTAATATGCATGAATTGACAAATTGTAAGAGTAAATGTCGAGTAAACGAAAAAGCATGGCTCCTCTTTACGTAGTAAGTCAGACGGAAAACTTTCTACGATAACAGTAAAACATGAAAAGACTAAGAGACATCAGATGGAAAGGTAACACCAAGATAATTAACCTTCGACACATATCCTATCACGAAAATCATTTTCAAATTAATCATAATTCATATGTTCATTGGATAAGGCAGGATTAATTGCAACGATTGTGCTCTAAATACATTATTCTTAAACGTCCTACTTGTCAAATTTTTCTGTGAACACTATGATTCATGTTTACATCTCATAGCATTAAGTATGGCATACGGATACATTTTGTTATATCATAAAAATAATGTTGCACAGATAACGGAAATGAAATAAAAATATAAACTTAAAATACCAGGTGATTCTAAAATTGTAGTTACAGTGAACTTCATCTTCTTAATCAACTAGCCTATTTGATTGACTGGTCAACTATCATATCATAGATGAGTTAGATGGAAATTCAAGAAAGCAAGACTTACATTTTTGACTATATCAAGACGGTATTTATTTTGCATCAATATGTAGTATTTATGTGAACAGTACAAAAGAACAAATGGTAAAGATTTACTGATACCAAAATGCTCGCTATACATGTATTGGATAGGAAGAGGACAAAGCACGTGCTTTTTTGTAATATAATCTTAATCATTCATGTTTGGGTTACATAGGAGTACGCTTTTAGTTTGTTTACCTATCTTGAGCAATTAGAACTACAGGAAACTTCATAAGAAAACAGTCAGAATTGGATAAACTGCCAAGTGTGATTACTTTATTGTTTATCTATGGTTCAGGAAGATAGCTACTCTAGGTGAGATAACTATTTTTGACTCACTGAATAATCTCCAGAATGATTGAACATGATATTAATAAAGCCTACTAAATTTTCATTTGGTAAAAAGTGTTTAAATTCCATCATTATATACAGGTTGCAAGTTAAATGTTTAATTTATATTAGCTAAATATGGAAACATTCACAAACTTGCTATCATATTTAAGTAAATATGTTGAAACGATTTATCAAGGTGATGTGTAGACAAAGGTATTGCACACGCGAAAATCAAAGGAATGTGTATACAATTATTTTGCACAAGTGCTATTTAATTTCTCTAATTACCTTGAACACTTCAAAACACGAATTCTTTCTCTAAAGCATTTTGGTGCTTTTTCTCCGTTTCTGGCACAGCACTTGTGGTAATAACAAGGAATCTAAAACAATCGTCTACTTTTTAAACTCATCAATTGTGCGCATTCGTCCCCCGATTGTATAATCAACCAATGTGACTAAATATTATATGCTGTTAAGAAAAATAATAAAAACTTAGTGATTAAAACAACCAAAAAAAGGTGAACACAATACCTTAGAAACATAAATTCAAATGATTTAAAGTGGAGTCATTTTTTGTTTTCTTCTGATGATAACCCGAGTTTTAATGATAATTATGTATATTTTTGTTTCCAACTGGCTTAATGTTGCTTTTTTGGTAATTTCTGGTAAATCTTATAAATCATTCATTAATTCATAATTGATAATTAGTTAGCTACTAAGTAGTTTTTCTTTTTTTCCAAAACAAAAAAAATTCCGAATTAAAATCACATTGTTTATGTCATATTTTCAATGAAAGTCATGTTTAGAAAAGAATAGGAGATTACTCAATTCCATTTTTTAGTAATCTAATATATATATATATATATATATATATATATATAGAGAGAGAGAGAGAGAGAGAGATTATGTATTAGAAATGTATGTTTATTGGATCATTTGATCTGATAATATTACATAATTAAAATGGATAAATTACCTCTCCATCATTGAATTAACGGTTTGCTCTTAATGTATAAATACTATATCGGTGGTGTTAGTAAAGAATATGTACTTCCATATACAATCATTATTTTTCCAAATAACGAATTATTTAACCTCATTTCAGACGATTGTTTCAATGTTCATATTCAGTAAATAATTATCAATGTTCATGTTTGTTTTAAACAAAATTTATTTAACAATTGAATCATATACGTGATAGATAATTATGAAAAATATGATTAGCTTAGTTATGTGATTATGAACAAAACAAGATTGATAAAAATTGTACTGATTTTTTGATCTAATCTAGTTGTTTTACTACTACTTCAACATGTAGTTATGAAAAGAAGCAGTAACGTATTCAATAAGTCATCCATGAAAATAGGATTTACCTCGACTGAAGTTAAATGCAAACGATATTGTCGTGTTCTTTTTTTTTTGAATTTTCGCTTTAAATTCAATATATCATAGTTTATACAAGTTTTATTAGATTGAATTCTAATATGATCATTTCAAAAATCTTTTGCTTTTATTCAGTAGTCTACTAAACTGGACTTTTTTTTATCCCAATGAAATCCAGATTATTTATAGTGTACATATCTCTAAATGTTAACAATTACAAGAGGATAGAAATTCATTTAACTTTGAACAGAATAAATTTATTAAATCATACCACAATCGTTATCGACCAGCTTTATATCTCAATGGTGTTGTTTTATATAACTTTAAGTTAGGATTCCTAACAATGGACCGAAACAAGTATCATAAGGATAATAGCTATGATCATCAACTCTTAATCGAAATATATGTATGGGAAAATACTGTACATATAATTTACTTATATTATAGATAATCACTACGTAATCTGTCATAACTTTTGTCTTTATCAAGTTGTAGCGTTTTTAGATAAACAAACATAAATAAATACCTTGAAACTAATAATCCAGTGTATAGAATACCCCACTGGTCGAGATCATTATAACTTAATTATCGATGTTGGATATGATGTAAGCTCAAATAATTACATTGATTTAACTGATAATTTCAGGATTAAACATTGATTATTTATAAAAATTTAATTTACATGTCACTAATTAAAATATAATTGAAATTCGTTATTCAATCATAACTTTCAACCATACCTTACTTTTTCGTAAACTTACACCCTTATTTTTATGTTATCCACAAATTTTCACATTGAGAATATTACCAACAAAATGCCAAGACAGTAAAACAGCATGAACTAGATAAGACTACCCTAATAACAAGCTCAGTGTAATTTAATTATACCTCAACCTATCAATTTTGGGTCATATATATATATATATATATATATATATATATATACGAGACAGAGTGATTCATTGTGACTTATTTGTTTTATAGGTGACAATTCATGTGTACGTTGTTTACGTAGTTCACCGATTGCATCTTTAGTTGGCTTCATTATTGTATTACTGGGCGGTGGGGCTTTTGGTGGAGCAATCATTTTTGCAAGACGTTATTTAATTACACTTTTAAATGCTCCTAATCTGTGAGTTGTTTATTTATCTGTATGTTGCATTAAATAAATTCATTTTTTCCATAAAGTTAATTTGCATGATTAAACTTTTATACAAGTTGAAAACATTTGTATCTCCCAATGCTGCTTTGGGAAGTGGAATACTCACAACAAGTATAACGATAACATGAGAAATAATTTTAAGCCTTTTATTTCAACGATAGTACAACTCAAAATGAATAATATAAGCTTATCCAAGCTTTCCTCAATATATTCTTCCATATTTATGATAAGTTACTTGCATCTTTTTTCGCATAAACCATTTCGACAACATTCGAATATAACGTTTAAATTTCGGGCTTAGAACTATACATTATCCTTGTTGATGCACACTTAAAAGTAAACCAAATATTCATAAGCTCTCCATGATTAATCGGAAATATAAGGCGTATATTTTAAAAGATATATTCATTTTTACGTAGATATGAATATCATCACCTAATAACCGCTTTTAGAGTGATTCAAGATCAATACTTAGTGTGCCAACAGGTCATCAGGTAGTAAGATATAAATTTGTACATATTTTTGTGACTGTTCCTGAATATGTCGACATTCTTGTTGAAACTATTTATTGCCTACTTATTAACTCACAGAATTATTTACAAATAACATTCTCTCATCCCTAAAAAACTCATTCATTATATTTTCATTTCCCTTTTTCCTATTTTCATTCCAAAACATAAATAATAATAACATCTAATTAATTTGTTTGTCCATGACTCGAATAAAAGCTTTCGTATTACGTTACATAATCAAATGTTAAATTGCCAGAATCATATTTTCTGCAATTAAGAATTCTGATTGTCTTTTAAGTTTTGTATGCACAATAACCACCATTATTCAATAATTAACATAAGCAAGATGGATATACAGAATCTAGTGATAGTTTCAATGATTTTTCTTTATTGTCAAATTTGAGATGAAATGTTCAAATGCACTCATATACATCAAGGCTAACGACGTCTATACACTCATAGTACATTTCAAATTGTTATGGTATAGATTTTAAATGAAGTTTTAAAATGGAATCTAAACAAAATCGTTCTATGATTTACACCTTCACAAAAGTTACGGCTAGTATTTCTGTTGTGAAGATTTCTTTTGATTGATCGATTTCAATTACTTGTCATGAATTTGACTGATAATTTATACCAACCTAAATAATAACTAATGATCAATCAGATTATTATTATTACTATCATTGCATCAGTATACAGTATGGATGGCTTAAATAGAATTAATATTTGTTACAAGAAACTTTTTATAATCTAGTCTGCTGATACTATATAACTTTTATACATTTAAACATTGCCATTAATGATTTGTAAGCGTTTGCATTAATCCGTTGTTGATGTTGAAGACTGAGTTTTCATCCGTCTAAAGGTTTAGGTAGCGGTTGTGTAAAGATTAACACTGTAATCCAGATACATCTGGTTTATGAGTCCTAAGTAGGATAAAGAGTTCATCCTGGAACTCACTGCGAACCATGATTTAAGTAAACTAATCAATCTTAATTTACAAAATAGCAAGGATTAGTTATTGTGTATCTCACTATCGTAATACTTATTTGTAGATTCCCTTACTTGGACTATGCTATTTATGGTTTAGTCGGAGCAATAGGATTATTTTCACTGTTAGCCTACTTACTATGTTCCCTCTCTTCTGGTTGGAATGCAAAACATTACTTTGAAAGTAGCCGAAAAGCATGCTGTGGAAGGTGTTGTAATATGACGGTAAGTCTTATGTTTTGTGTAAATTTATGTCAAAAGAATGTTAACCATATTCTTCAGAGGTAACCTCATAATAAAATTTTGAAAAATATAAATATATTTGTCTGAATTAGATACTTTAAGAAGTATTTTAATGCAATTCCATCAGTGTTATGTATTCCATACCTGACATGGTTAAACTCTAATAGTCACAGTTTCTAGAAATATGTCTATTGGTTCAAACAATGAAACGATCATTGAAAAATCTGGATTGTTTCCTAAGTTGACGTTGCAGCTCATTTTTTAAACATGAAATTCGATTGTATAAAAAAAGACATTTTGACTCTTAAAATTAGTGATTATTCTAATGCCCGGCATTTCTAACTTCTGTATTTTGTCGCTCTTGATTCACTTATAGTCTTGATATTTATATCAATAGTATTTTTTAATTGCTTTTCACTTTGATTAATAACAAGTTATCCATGACTTGCATATGCTGCATTTGAGTGTTTAATGAGTTTCGATTTCTCAAAGATACTTACTTGCTCGAAATTTCAGTGACAGAAATTCATGATCATTTTTGAAACTATGATGATTATCACTGAATAAACCTCAAATTAATACAATAATTTACCGTGATCATGGCTTCAATTCTCAAAGTTAGTTTTGTTAATCCGTTCACATAATAAAATACTCCTAAATAGTCTTGTTTTAGTTAAGAGTGTTACAAAAAACTTGAAAATAAAAAAAATATTTATCTGAATATTCACTTGAAACCGTGTGTTTCGGTTAGATAGTTAATTTTAATGCTTCTCAAAATGTTTACACTCAGTTATTCGTCGGTGTGTACATTCACGATTATCTGCTATTTTACAAGTCAACTGATTGCTAGTGGTCAACAAACAATGACAATTCAAATAATTTATCTATATTGGGCTTATCGGTTTGTAATATTCTCATACTACTGTAAAATATGCCGGAATACATTTCTTGTGACCCACTAAATTTTAGCTCTCAAACTGAGTTACGAAATGTGAACTCTGAAGGCCTCTAATATGTATGGGGGAGAAACTCTGTTTTTTTGGGAGAATACTTTAAACCGTATATATAGTGAAAAATATTTGATTCATGATAACCGGATGTTAACTATTCACTATTTCAAATAAAATGGTACTATTTTGTCAAGTTTTACTGCGTCCATGAAACTTTCAGGCTTTTACTTTTGCTTAATGTGCTTATAAATACTCCTGTAAGAGTAGTTGGTCGAAGGTGATGAAAAGATTTTTCTTGTCCGTATCTTTCTTACTCTATCAGCAGTAATTTCATCAAGAATCTATAAACGACTGGATTGCATCAAATATTTCTCTATCTATACAATCAATGAAATATACTTTTTTATATGAGAAAACTGATTTTTGTTAAAAGCTACACATATGGTCACTGTCAGTATGAAGACATATCTAGAAGCACGTTTCAAAAATGGAGGCAAGTAGTTACTTCTTTGACATTTTAATTAAGTCGACTAAGAGAAATATTTGGCAAAACTAATACGTTCATTAATTCCTCAGTAAAATGGCTCATAATAAAGAATGCGAAAAATAACAGAAAATTTGAAACGAATTTTTGGACACATAGTTTACAATAGTGTAATAATTCAATATGTAAATACGGTCATTCTGTCTCAGTGTTGATCTGGTAGTTACTATGATTACCACTGATACCATGTAATGTTTCTAATCGATAAAACATTTTCAAACGTGTTGAATTAGCTCGGTTAATAATTAAGTTCATCCTTTCAAAATTAAGTTTTGTAAACGTCTAATTTTTTTAGTTAAACTATAAACAACAAAACAAAAACAGAACATTTATCGGTATTTTCATGTGTAAATATTTATAACCATTATTCTATGGAAACCAAATGTATTTAATTGGCTAAATGTGAATACTTAACACACAATGACCTTCATATCAATGTACAGTCCAAAAAAATAAATGAACCGAAACAAAACATCTAGAAAAAAAGGGAAAGAACATCTTTTAGGTGAATCACTATCCATCTACATTTCAAAACAAACAAAACTAATCCGACCTAATTTTGAATAAATAGATGAAAAATAGAGTAAAAAAGTATGGTTAGAATCATTTCTATGAATAGGTGTCTAATTTCAAGATATGTTTCGCCAATTTCAGAGTCCCATAATGTTCCTTCATTCCATGAGGTGACTGGATTTCTATTAGATAAACTATTGAACCTCAACCTAGCAAATCTGTAGTATTAATCTCGCTAAGAGACATAAAAACTCTGAATAAGGCTACATAGCTGTCCGGTGATCCTTAATGCACAAAAAGCTCTCTCATATATTTCGAGGCTTTGAGTTATACATTTATATCACATATGCTTCAGTGAGGCAGCAAAATCCGACCTCAGGCCTCCTCGTAGAGCTGCTGGACAGTAGCGGCAACCCTGCTAACCAACTTAGGCGGTTGACGGAGATCAGACTAATCGCTCACCCCATTGTATCCTTGATTAACTCGGGGCCCACTTAACCGCACCGGGCCACCTGATGTATATGCTTATGTATAAGAATTGCAGAAGCTCTCGGGTTTACGTAGTTCACATGTGTAGGCATATGCAACTAACATGTGTGTAGTGTCGTGTAATAGAAACGTTGGCTGCAATATTGTCTGCCTTATGTCTAATAAAATCAGAAACCTAGTCTATCAGGTTGAAGACATAATAAAAAGAGGTGGTAGCAAATACTAGAGAGCTGCGACCAACAACCTCCTTTGGGAGAGTGTTTGTGCTTTTGTGCGCATCAGGAAGTGTCGGGGCGGTATCCAAGGTATGAATGATATGTATATAATGTGTAAGAGACAGTCTGTTGCTGTAAATACGTTTCAAAGTCAGGGGTGAACATCTACCTTCTTATGTAAGTGAATGTACCTGTATGTATGCTATGAGATGCATGAGATAAAACCTGTGTGTTACCGGTGTGTGTATGTAACATGTACTTGAGTGTATGCCAAGTGATACTCGAATGAAAGTTCGTATGTTACCCAGTATTCAATTAGACTATACTTATCCAGGGTAAGTAAAAACATCGAAAATTCCCTTACTTGCTCTCCTTACGATACTGAGATGCACTAGCAGGGTTTCCCCTACTGTCCAGCAGCGCTACGAGTCGGGTTTTGCTGCCGCACTGATCAGAACTTAAATTAATAGCTCCGAAATATACTTTGATCCTCCATAATTATGTATTGTAAGATTTAACAGTTCGCAAAAAAAATAACAGAAAATACAAAACGTTTTTACCCGATCTTAATCTTATCGGTTAATTCCATAAATCAATGCAGAACATATTATTTGCCATGTACATAAAAGAATGTTAGAATAACTGCACATTTACTGTCTACTAGGCTTTTGATGAATATTCTGATCATCAACATCATCGTAATTCATAATTAACAAATCTGTCCCCAAAACATCAGTTATATTAGTGTAAGAACTACATCAAACTTCTGTTTTGCATCCCTTTTTTTAAACTAATTACTTAATACTGTTAAGTTTACTCATCTTTATCTGGATTCATCCAAACAAAAATATTATCTTCACCTCTATACATAACATTGAATTGTTTTAATATTCCTTATTATTATTACTATTACCATTATTAATATTCTTATCATTATTATCATTATTTATTTCCACTTTGTTTATTTACGGATATGAGAATAACATACCCACTTTAATTACTAAACACATGCAAATATGAATCAGCTTTCAGTATTCTACCTTCTGTAGTATTGAAGAAAAATTATCAGAAATCAATTTTTTCGGAAGTATTGGAATATTATAGAAATTTATTTGCTTTACTGATGGGGGAAAAGTAAAAATATACTCATATATAACACAGGTAATTTTCTAAAAGCATAACAGAAAAAAGGACAACAAACACTATTTATTATTCATTATTTCCGTTGCATTTCACTCCTTCATTAAATGTTCTCAAAGTGTGTTCTTCTCACATAAAAATCATTCAGATTTCACATAGTGATAAACGGTAGAGAACAAACTGCTTAAATTAAAATTGCCGATAAAAAAGCATAACAAACAGTAACAGAGACTAGATAAAATTAGTCCTGAAGTAGAACATCAAAAACTTAGCCAAGCAAAAATAAAGAAGAAGAGGAAGAAAACATAAAGCTTACAAAAAAAACACAAGGAGAAAACAGACCAAAATCAGGAAATTGTAAAAAAGTCAACAAAGGACTTATACTACAAAAAATCTCATAGAAAATATAAGTTAATAATTAGTTCAACAAAAAATGAACATCTTTAAATATCTAAATCATCACACTATGCATTGATAAGACTCGTGTACAATGTAAACATATATGACCGACTATTCAGTATGACTGCCTTAAGGACTAGAAATCCTTTTATTGATTTATTTCTGATGTTTGGGTAATATTTTTAATTACCTTCTATATAGATGCCTTATTATAAATGATTTAGATACTTCACAAATGGTTTATTGTGTATGGATTTGAATATAGAATCTATTTTAATTTGTAACTTTGTAATGATAAGCTTGATCTATAGACAACTTCACCACTGATTGACATCAGCTATTGAGCTGACAATATTAAATTCAAGCTCAGTGGTTTAAAGGTCGTGACCTTGGTTTCCAAATTGCAACAAGATCCTTAATCCTCGGATGTACTATGCTAGAGTAAACAACTATTCACTTTGCCATGATTTTCTATAGTTCATCAATTGATGTTAATCTATGACTTAAATGGTAATACAGTGTTTTGATTTGTAAACAGATGAGCTCTTATTGTGCTACAGAATTTTTAATCTAATATTCATAATACAAACAGGATCATGATTAGATCATAGTAAATCTGAACCAAAATGAAAATTATACAGTTATCATACTTAATAAAACACTCGATGTTTGAGTTGCCGGAACTAAGCCATATATATATATATAGTTAGTTATTAATTTATAGATTAATATGTTGCTGTCCAAAATTTGATCATTGTTATCATTTCTGGAAAGTAAGGGAGAGAAAAGTGTGTTTTCCTCTTCCCTTTTTATTCCCCCTCCATTTTATGTTCTCCAAGCCCAGTGGAAAGGGGAAGTAAATTCAGATTATCCATATCAATTAACAATTGTTTACAATTACTATTATTATTACTGTGTCAACACTCGTTTTCATTAACTCCTACTCCTACTCCTTTGTTTCATTTCATCATTTGCTTATTATGTTGCTTCTGTCTAAAGAACTACATTTCCCTTAAATGTAACATTTTTATTCTGTTGTTATTATCTTTTTCATATTTGCATTTCATTTAAATAAGAAGTATTATTTCAGATTAATCAGTCAATCACAGTGCAAATAAATTGACTAACTCTTCTCATGTTCATCATTCAGTTCATTTCAACCTACTTAAAGGAAATAATGTCGTGGAATCTGTTATCAATATATTTTGGTAATATTGTTCAAATAGAGAATAGATATGAGAAAACAACAGTTGTGACACGTCATAAAATTACTTTTTTCTCAAACTTTGGAATTAAGTTAGTCAATCTTTATACTCGATTCATGAAGCCTTAAACCTAGATTGAAGAGCACTTGTCAAACTGTATATATTTATATGTATAGCAATGGAATCCAGGACGCACGTTTTATTCTATTTAGGATTCGCAAGATGAATGCCACTGCATCCCAGAGTTGATGTTCACCTCACGACTCGAACCCAGTGCCGTTCACTCCAAACGCCATCACGTTATCTACTTAGCTACTGAGTCTAAATAGCTGCTAGCTTGTGCAATGTGGTGAAGTTTACTTCATTTTTGCATTTTTCTGTCCAAATAGTGCACTGCTAGCCACCATCCATCGTTGCTTATAATGCTTGTGAATTAAGACAGCATCGAGGCAATCGGCACAGTATTCGCATATGCCAATAGGAGACTTATCATTTGCATCCCTAAACATCAATGGGGAGATTTAAACAATCAATGTAAAAATGAATTAAATTTATTTCTGCTGTGCATTTATTTATTTATTTATTTTTCACCTGTATTAACCAAAAGGTTAAGTAAATTGTATATCAACAAAAACTGAGATCAAATAGTGAACGTTTCATTTTCTAAACAAAAACGTTTTGGTCAACACTTATCCATTAACTGAGACATCATGTCTATATATTTCTCATTATTACATCACCCGATAATTCGGAATTCATTTAATATTGTAAACAGAAATGATTGTTTTAAACAATAGAACTGGTTACATATCTTTTCTTAATATTTTCAAGACGTTATTGTTATGGTACGTGCTTATGTTTGAGATTATTATTACCAGTCATTTGCATTTTTTCATTATCGATGAGTTTTTCTATTTATCTCTCTCATCTTTCAGCTTATCATACTTTTGGTAACGGCTGTCATATTATGGTCAGCTATTGCATGCCTAGTTAGTTACCCAGTTGTCAGTATTGCACTTTTGTTATACCGAAATGAAGGACCTAGTCGCTTACGACTAGCCTCTGTCGGACAAATGACTTCATATAACCATGATGGTCAAGTAAATTTTCCTAGTTCAAGCAGTAGTTACATACGTGAAATGTTTAATTCCAATAGAAAAATAATAAAACGACGTGATACAGAAGAATGGTTTCCTGATGATCCTAATGATTTCAATACAGTTGAAAATACTGTTGCCGTACCAGATGATATTCCAGATAATCTTCATACAGATCCATCTAATTTAGGTAAAGACCTAACAGCTACGGTGACAAGTCCAAAAATGGTCGATCAGCCACCACCTGTGATAAGTTCATTTTCTGATAACAAATTATCATCATCATCAATACCATTAAAATCGTCTTTAAAACCTTTATCAAAAAACATTGTAAAACAAGTAATGAATGGTGCTCTTAGTATTCCAGAATCTATCAAATTGTTTTATCAGTGTAGCCAAGAGACATTTGATTTATCTTATTACGGTAAGAAAATCTAATCATCTTTAATCTTCTATTAAAAAACAATCAGAGTACTTTATTCATTTTTATAATTTTTATTTAAACTTAATGGAATAACTTTACAGAAATGAAGCATTTGATAAACAGCACATATATATAACTTGTATTTATCAACGTTTTACTATGATAATCTCTTCAGTCATACAGTAGCAACAATTAGAAATACATTGGAGCACAAAATAGTCCTCCCATTTTTGTTCAAGAAAACTGAAAAACACCCACAAAACCACTTATCTGATTGTAAATCGCATTCTTACTAACGATTGGCATTTACATAAATCTCCTGAAGTTCTTATAAGAACTATTCAAACTGGGAGCGAAATTGATAGGCTGATTATACATTTGAGAAATTGTGTGATATTTCGCATTAGCTAATATAATACAATGTCACAGAATGTTGACTCGATGATCTAAGCCTGTGGTACATGCCTCTAGATCAATAAATCGTGACTTCGAATGTATGTATTGGTTAGTGGCTATGAGCTGCTCAAGATTCCCAAACTACGATAAAACAACAATGTTGTTCCAGTTAGTTCTGTGTGAGGTTGATTCTAATATCAGTTAATGAAAGAGAACTTTTCTCAAAATGAAATAGTTGTTACAAAGACATTGTTTAAATGTTTAGGCGTTTTATAGAAAAGTATACTTTGGTCTCATTAAACATAATAGTTCTTTAGGTAAGAATCCGTAATAGTAGATTTTGTAAAAACCGGTAATCATAAGAAAACTAGTTTTTTCAATCGTGAAAGAACTATTTAAATGTGATTAATACAGATAAAATTCATTTACCAATACGAATTAAACTACCAAACAACTGACTAATATACTTTTGTAGTCTTATAATAACTACTAAATTATCGAGGTACTAACGAATGTTATTATTAAATTCACTTAGTATTGTTTGTTTGAATCTTCCCATCGATTTGTTAGGACTGCAACTGGTCAGTCTCTAATTGGCATATGTGCATACTGTGTGTATTGCCTCGATATAGCCTTAATTCACAAGCATGGTAAGCAAAGGTGGATAGTGGCTTGATTTCATTAGAATATCTTTACACCTTGTAATGTTCATGTACATAATGGAGTTCTTTGATTAATAAATGTTTACTGTCAGTTAGTTTACAATATCAAATTGATGATAGTAATAATTACAATAGTAATAATAATGATAATCGTCTTTACATTTCAGTCACAGAAACTACCTTTCTTCAGCCATAAAAAAATATTTTATGTACGGATAATATAATGAATGGTGGTATTTTACCAATGAACTAATTGCATTTATTCACAGCATTATATCCTTTAAAATAAGCCATTCGAAAGAACAAAAAAAAATTAATTCAATTTTTTTTCTTTTCATATGTCTTTTTTTATTATTTTATGTTTACCTTGGTGTATAAAAAAATAATAAAAGGGAGGATGTTAGTTTTGAAATAACGATACATTTTTTAGTTGCAAAAATAAAGATGAAAGAATTTTTTTTCCTTTTATATCATCATCTATCAGTATGTATTTCTACATACAAAAGGCAAACTTAAGAAGTGTTCAATTAAATTAACTTTTTTTTAAATAAAAAAAATTTATAAAATTCGTGTCAATTAGTTATAAAAACGAATAAGTGATGAAAATTTTCATTTTTCTTCTCAATTGAACAATTTAAAAAAGTGTGTTTGCTTAAATGTTATGTTACTAAGATACTGAAAATTATTGAAATGAAACTGTTTATACTATAGTTTAACCAAGTTATATATATATATATGTATAGTAGTTTTGTTAAGTCTTGTTACCTTGGAAACTTAAAACAATAATTTCCCAATTAATTCCTAGACTGTTACAATCTTCAACTCTCAAACTATGATTGAATCCAGAAGGTGGAAATATGAAAGAATCTTTATTTATGTAGTTTGTTTAATTTTACAAAATAAAGAGTACTTACGAAGTTATGAACAACCTTATGTTGTTTAAAAACCCATAGAAAATTACTAAGATTCATAATTATTTTGGTACTTAGGCAATGAGACTGATCAAAATTAATTTCAAACATTTTACGGTTTCTAAAGGATTTTTCATACAATAATGGATGCCTCGTCACAATTTCAATAACTCAACTTAGTGTCACGTATGACTTGGAAACAGTAATTAGGAAAAGGTAATTAATCACTGAATAAATCTGTATTTTCGTCAGGTAAAGTCATCGGATAAATGATTTGATATTTAATAGGTCTATTCTTTCTATTTATATTCTCTGCATATTTATTAATAATTAAATATATCATGATAAATTGGTGTGTGAATAATATTACATAATGAGAAATACTATAATTCCTTCATACATGAAACAGAACAAATGAAGATTACACACTTTCAGATAAACAGTAGTCCAGTAGATTTAAGAAGAAACAGAGATTCAAATGAAATTAAATAATTAAACTAGAATCACACAGAAAATTGGCTAAGTAATATTTTAGTTCAGCTAAAATCTGAGGATATCAGTTACTTTATGTTTAAGGCTAAAAACTCCCAGAAATCCGGATAAAATTAATATAAGAAAAGCTGCAAAACTTTTAGAGACTAGAGAGCACTAAAAATATGTCTCGACTTCATTTTGAACTTCTTCATAGTGAACATACAAAGTCTATACAGCGTTGACTTTGTAGTGAAACTACAAATATTAATAAACCATCTATATTCAGTGTTTAAATTTGGAAAACATGTTTTTTTGTTTCGTTAAGTATATTTTCAGTGCTTTTACTACTTATTCAAGTCATTCTACTTATTATTACATATTCTCCATATTACTTATTTTCATTTGTTCTATTTTCTTTCATATCCATGAGTTTCCACCAATGAGGATTTGATTTATCTGCAAAAATACACTTAGATGGTTTAGAATAAAGAATATTTTAATCCTCATTTCGTTTAACCATGAACTTCCATACGATTTACTTTTGTCAGCTCAGGAAAATTTGCTCAATGCTTCTTTCATCATATTGTTATCGATACATAATTAAAAACAGCCAAAATTATTTTAGAATATTTTAGAAGTTTACGGGAGAGTTTTAACTAACATGATATGCAATATATTCGTTTATGTGCTTTACTATCGAGGTCCTCGTTTTATCTTTTGTTTTTCAACTAGGTCTATACGATGCCAATGGTTTACCGATACACATTGCACGAGCTAACTTCCCTGAGAGAACATATGATATTTTAGTTTGTGTAATTCTTGCTGTCGCTGGCATATTCCTACTACTATTTGGTTATGTAAGTATATGAGCAAAAATCAAATTCTACTTTTTGGTCAAAAGACAGACTGTTTCATGTATTTTCGATTTCAGAAAAATTAGGTACCGTTTAAATAAAGCTGAATATATGTTACTACTTATTATGTGTCAGTAGTAAAACAAGTTAGACTTTGTCAAATCTTACAGGATGTTATTTATACGTATGACAATCGGCCGATCAGAAAATTCATTCTGTTGAGAAAAGTTTTTTTCAGTGAAATGAAAGTCTGTTAATCATGTGAATAATTTTTTTATTTAAATATGACTTATTCATAAACATAAAGGTGTTTTTGTCTGTGACAGCAACAATAAATTCACTTATCATGTAACTGTATTTATCACACTATTAATAGATCATGTATATCTCCACATTTCTAAAAGTCTAAACGGAAAGTCAGAAAGTCGGATGAATGGTTACAAGTACCGTTCATTATTTAATCTTTTAATTCACCTGATCATATTGAGTACAATACAAGACCCCAACACGTTTCAAATAATAAATCTTAGTAAGCATATTTTTACTGCCTACTTAAACATCTGGGCTACCTGTTCCTTTCATCTAGATATTTCAACAAGTTATCTAATTTCGTTTGTTTTAATACATCATTATGGCTATTAATCGCACAACCTATTCAAGTGCATTTCTGAAAAGTGCACAACCTTTTTCTGTAAAGGTTACAAAAGGTCTAATCAGAGACATCGTGGTTGCTGGCAATATGTAGCGAAAAGAATATACATTATTCAGATGTCGATAGACTGGACTGCTAACTTCTAACTGGCATTAACTGATTATTTGTCGTCAGGATCGATGAAGAAGTGAGAAACGGAAATTTGTTGATATACTTTGTGCTGAGAATTCTGTATTGTACCAAAAATATAATATTACTTACTTACTTACTTACTTTCGCCTGTTACTCCCAATGGAGCATAGGCCGCCGACCAGCTTTCTCCAACCCACTCTGTCCTGGGCCTTCTTTTCTAGTTCTTTCCAGTTCTTGTTCATTCTTCTCATGTCTGTCTCTATTTCTCGGCGTAATGTGTTCTTTGGTCTTCCTCTTCTCCTTCGACCTTCAGGATTCCATGTGAGGGCTTGTCTTGTGACACAATTGGGTGATTTCCTCAAAGTGTGCCCAATCCACTTCCAGCGCTTCTTCCTGATTTCTTCCTCTGCTGGAATCTGGTTTGTTCTCTCCCACAGTAACTTGTTGCTGATAGTGTCTGGCCATCGGATCCGAAGTATCTTGCGTAGACAGCTGTTAATAAACACTTGTATCTTCTGGATAATGGCTTTCGTAGTTCTCCACGTCTCTGCCCCATACAGAAGAACTGTCTTGACATTTGTATTGAAAATTCTAACCTTGGTGTTGGTTGACAATTGTTTTGAGCTCCAGATGTTTTTCAGCTGTAGGTATGCTGCTCTTGCTTTGCCGATCCGCGCCCTCACATCTGCATCTGATCCACCGTGTTCATCAATGATGCTGCCCAGATATGTAAAGATTTCCACATCCTCCAAAGCTTCTCCGTCAAGTGTAATTTGATTGGTGCATATTGTATTGTATCGGAGAGTCTTGCTTTTCCCTTTGTTTATATTGAGACCTACTGCTGCTGAGGCTGCTGCTACACTGGTCGTTTTCTCCTGCATTTGTTGTTGCGTTTGTGATAGAAGAGCCAGATCATCCGCGAAGTCTAAATCGTCAAGCTGCATCCTGCCTGTCCACTGTATCCCGTGCATTCCTCCAGATGTTGCCGTCTTCATAATCCAGTCGATCACCAGGAGAAAGAGAAAGGGTGAGAGTAGGCAACCTTGCCTAACACCGGTCTTTACCTCGAACGAGTCGGTGAGTTGTCCTCCGTGGACGATTTTGCAGTTTAGTCCATCATAGGAGTTCCGTATGATGTTGACTATCTTCTCAGGCACGCCGTAGTGTCGAAGAAGCTTCCATAGTGTCGTCCTGTCCACGCTATCAAATGCCTTCTCGTAGTCGATGAAGTTGATGTACAGTGATGAATTCCATTCGATTGATTGTTCCACAATGATACGTAGAGTTGCGATTTGATCTGTGCACGATCTATCCTTACGAAATCCAGCTTGTTGATCTCGAAGTTGAGCGTCCACGGAATCCTTCATCCTGTTTAACAATACTCTGTTGAAGACTTTTCCTGGTATTGAGAGGAGAGTGATGCCTCTGTAGTTGTCGCACTTGCTCAGATCGCCTTTCTTTGGTATCTTGATCAGAAGTCCTTCTTTCCAGTCTGTTGGTACATGTTCTTCGTCCCAAATCTTACCGAAGAGGATGTGGAGTATCTTGGCAGTTGCTGTTACATTTGCTTTCAGTGCCTCTGCCGGGATGTTGTCTGGTCCCGCTGCTTTGCCACTCTTGATTTGTCTAATGGCCATGCTGATCTCTTCAATTGTTGGTGGGCCAATATCGATTGGGAGGTCTGTGGGTGCTGCTTCGATGTTGGGTGGGTTCAGTGGAGCTGGTCGATTCAAGAGTTCCTTGAAGTGTTCTACCCACCTGTTTCGTTGTTCTTCAATATCGTTGATTACTTTGCCTTCCTTGTTTTTCACTGGTCTTTCTGGTTGACGGTAATTTCCAGCAAGTTTCTTTGTTGTATCATACAGTTGTCTCATGTTTCCCTCTCTTGCAGCCTTTTCCGCTGTCATCGCTAAATCTTCCACATATTTACGTTTGTCGGTTCTGATGCTCCTCTTCACTTGCTTGTTTGCCTCTGTGTATTCGGCTTGTGCCTTGGCTTTTTCTGCTCTTGTTCGGCTGATATTGATTGCTACCTTCTTGTTCCTCCTTTCTTCAATTTTATCCAGTGTACCAACAGTGATCCATTCCTTGTGATGGTGCTTCTTTTGGCCCAGAACCTCCTGACATGTTGAAACGATTGCCTCCTTGATACCTTTCCAGCTGCTCTCTATGGTGGTTCCCTCTCCATTGAGTAGGTCATGAAAGGCCTCGAACCTGTTGCTGAGGGCTATGTTGAATTTGTTGAGTTTGTCAGCATCTCGAAGAAAGGCCGTGTTGAACTTTTGTGATGTTGTCCGCACCGTTGTCCAGTGCTTCTTGAGTTTTAGTTTCATCTTGGCGACCAGCAAATGGTGATCGGATGCTATATCAGCTCCTCTTCTGGTTCTCACATCCTCCATCGTCCTCCTGAACTTTTTGTTGATGCAGACATGGTCGATTTGATTTTGTGTAGTGTGATCCGGTGAAATCCAAGTGGCTTTGTGTATGTTTTTGTGTGGGAATATGGTGCCACCTATGACCAGTTTATTGAAGGCACATAGGTTTGCAAATCTCTCACCGTTTTCGTTCCTTCCTCCCAGTCCATATTGTCCCATGACGTCTTCGTATCCAGTGTTGTCCTTTCCAACCTTGGCATTGAAATCTCCCATTAGAATGGTCAGGTCCTTGGTTGGGCACTTCTCGAAGATTGACTGCAGCCTATCGTAGAATTGGTCTTTAGCGTCTTCATCGTAGTCGTTGGTAGGCGCATAGCATTGGATGACGTTCATTGTAATGCCCTCTCTCTTTGTTTTGAAGGAGGCTTTGATGATCCTTGGTCCATGAGATTCCCATCCAATAAGTGCATTTTGTGCTTTTCTGGACAGCATCAATGCAACTCCTTGTGTATGTGGGGCATTTTCTTCTTCATGATCGGAGTATAACAGAAGTTCTCCTGAAGACAGTCGTTGTTGTCCAACCTGCGTACAATGTGTTTCGCTGATTCCAAGAACCTCCAGGTTGTATTTTCTCATTTCTGCAGCAATTTGGAAGACTCTTCCGGTCTCCCACATTGTCCGGACATTCCATGTACCTATAAAAATTGTCGCTCTGGTTGTAAGAAGGTGCATCGGCCTCATGACTTCCGAATGAACTCGGCTTTCATCATGAGACGTCATTTTTCCTTCTACTCCCAGGGCAGAGTTTGAAAGGTTTGAATGATTTTTTCTGGTTAGCGTTTTTTTAGCGAGTTGATTTTCTACGGGATGGGGTCGCTAACCCCATGCCCAACCCTCCTCCTTTACCCGGGCTTGGGACCGGCAGTAGCCCCTGGAGGAGCTACAGGCGGAGTTAAAAAAAAAATATAATATTGAATAAAGCTAATAATAATGATAATAATAATAATACTTGACTTTAAGTTGTAGATAGTAGAAGGAAGAGTAAATATTAGATTACAATTAAATGTTTGTTCAGTAAATACTTACTGAAAATTAGCAAACTAATTCACTAAACAATAGATACCCAGGTTTCATACTTGTTTTCTCATCTCTTCCTATAAACGAATTATTCATAATTGTATCAGACCTAACGGTTTATCCTACATTAGTTTCGACTTCAATCATGAAAATCTTTAACTATTCGACGAACTATTTAATTTTCATATTGATCACAAGTGAATGCATTTATCAACCAATCTTCTCTCACATTAACACACACGAATATATGAATATTTCATTTTATCTACCATGTCTTAGTAATAAAGGAAGATAAAGGTAGTCAGTTAGAATAAACGAGTGAATTATCACCAAACAACTGATGATCATGATAATAATGAACGGATCCGAAAACAACTTTTTTTGGTATTTAAAAGCCGATTAGTTTCAACTTCAAATGCTTCTTTTGAAGTCTTATTCAATCAAGTGTTTGGTCTTCAAATGATATGTGTCATCTACTGAAGAAAAACAAACGAAAATAATTTTAAATTCACTTGATGTTGTTTACTTGTATCTTCCCGTCCAGCTGATCAGTCCGAAATAGGACGAAACACGCGTCCTGAATTGCATTATCCATCTTTGCTCAAAAGCTTAAAAATAATTTTATTTGTAAAATGTGTTTTACAAAATCATTATTAACATTACCTAATTTTAAATAACAAAAATGTACTGAAAGAAAAGGCAAATAGCTTGATTCCTAAGATTAGAACTGGTGATACAAAAACACGACGACTGTATTGTTGAATCTGGCTTGCTTATCGTAATGTTACTTCTAAATCAATTAATAACAAAATTACTTGCCTAGTGGAATAATAAAAACATGAATTTTTAAATCAGTTTTTATTTGCCACATTATAGTGAATACTATCTGTAATTACAGCGTCAACTGCAAGGATTAACTAATAACAAGTTATCCTGTAAATACAAGAAGTGTTGGATAGTGCATATGGTTTTAACAAGAAAGTAATTTTACTCAACCAAAGAGCTTGAGGCATATTTCCACACAATACTATAATCTGTGTTGCCTCATAACAATCCATTTTGTAATTGAGGTCTTTTATCATCCAGTTAAATTCAATGTCTTTTGTTTATCTGAAGATCATTCTACTTATTAAGTTGGAGAAAAACGTCATTGGTTAATAAATACAATGTGATGGTACAATTGTGCATTTACTGGTATCGTATATCAAATTACATTTCCAGTGTTTTTGCTAGTAATAAGGTCTAGTTTAACCGTAAAAATCCTTTATTAAGAAATAATTGTTTAGATAATACAGTCAAATCAATTTCTTTTAAGCGTTGTTTTGTTCTCTAACCAGACTTTTGCATGGATATCCTGATGCTAAATTTGGTGAATACAAACTTGTATACTGTTCTGGTCATCAAATAGTATCACATACGATCATTTACTCCACATCAGCGATATAATCTTGTCTCTTAACTTACTCAAAACATTGATCCAATTGATTATCTACTGTAGTGAATGAATACGTGTTAATCATTCAGTCTCATATTTACCCTATTGTATTGAACTGATTTCCACACTTACCATAGAGTATGATTACTAAGGTTTTATTAAAAATAGATTTCATGTTACAAGACAAAGTTTTTGATTCAAAAAACTAATTAAAATATCAATTCTGATTTAATATATTGAATCAAGCATGGATAAAATACTTCACAGATAATATCGATGATATCTGTTGTCAGATATTATAACAAACTAAAGAATTATTGTTTAAACAATATGAAATTATTGTTTTTATTCATTTTTCTTTCTTTTTAGATACAAATAATTATTTGTACCGCAATGAATTATGCTCGAATGCAAGAGGCTAGATATTATGAAACATCTGATATTGGTGAAGAAGGTGTTGCATTACAACAATAAATGTATTTTATTTTAAAAAAATAATTCTGTAATTCCATTAAACATAATTCATTATGATTTTAATCATATGCCTTTTATTCTTCACATATGCAACTAACTACTTAGAATTTACAAACAATGTTAATGCATATACATAGGAAATATGAAAACTGCACATTGTATAGTAATTTGAATAAAAAAATTTTATTCAGTTCAAAGGATTTCATTAAAAATAATGAACACTTCCAAAAGAGAGTCTTCTTAAGAGCAAGATGTATGTATTTATGTTCCAGAATAATAATAATAATAATAATAATAATAATAATAATAACAATAATAATAATAGTAACAATCCTCATTAACACTGACTTATGTAATATCTCATTATTTTCATTCAGTCTTGTGTTTCCATTTTAAACCTATCGTTATTCATGTGTTTTTTTCTACTTCTGTTTTCTCTCATGTTTGTTTGTTTGTTTTTATTTTATAATCATCCAGTTGAAAAAAAGCAAAATAAACATCACTTATTTGCTTTTTTATTTCTTCTTAAATCATTCCATAATCCTTCATCACATACCATTTAAGTATTGTTTATCTGAAGATCATTCTGTTTATTAAGTTGGAGAAAAACAGTTTTCATCATTTTTAAAAATATGCGCTACATTTTAGTTGTTTAAATTTGTTTTAATGTTTTAATTAAAGAATAAAAGAAAAAACACTTAGGAAATAATAAAAGTTATTATTTTAATAACATTGAATCGTCAAAATAATTTTTTTTTTGCTTTTTTTATTGAAATTCATCAAATTGTGTTGCTTAATGCTTTATTCTTTTTACTTTATTTATATTGATTAAATAGACAACATTATAGTAACAAACGAATACACATGTGGCTTTCTTAATATGCTCTCACTCTTCTTCCCTCCCTCCCTCCCTCTCTCTCCCGATATATATATATATATATATATATATATATATATATATATATATATATTGTATAAGTGTTTGTTTTTATCACTCTCTGTTTTGCTTGCTTACTGACAGGTAAATTGTTGACAATAATTCTTAATTATAATTTTATCTAAACAAGTCTAAATTCTTATAGTATGATTTTGTTTTCTATAATAAACACAAACATAAATTATACTCAACCGATGAGTGTGTTTAATTATTGTTATTTCTTCTGATGTAAATTAAATACATATGGAGTTTGTTTCATACTATTCCTAATTTCCTCTATTACTCTATGTGTGTTTGTTGTGTATTTTTTACTCTGTTTGTTTGTTTTAATTGATTATTTTCTATAAATTTTCGTTGTTTTTATAGGAATATTATTATTATTAGCAAGGATAACAATAATAACGGTAATGGTATAAATGGTGTTCATGTAAAGAATGCTTATTTCATAATATGTGATTGTAGAATTTCGGACGAGAGACCTGACTTTCATCCTAGTTTGTACTACTAACCGATCTTCATTTTTTAAGAGAGTGGTGTGTTTTTTTTAGTTACGAACGCTCATCATCTAGTGTATTTCTGAGACGTTACCATTGACATCCTGTAGGACTTAGTTGTTCATATTAATGAATCATTAAGTAACTCATACATATCACTTGAGCTTTACTGTGATACTTGTCGTGTTTCGTCTCCTAGATATTTTTTTCAGGTGAGAAACTTCCATATGAAATTTATAAATGATATTCACTGAAATAATAATAATAAATTAGAACTATTTATGTACTAATCAAATAAGAGCTCACTGTTTGAACTCCATGAAATAAATCGGTAGAAGATTATGTTATTTTCTAAAAAGATAATTGCAGTGATGCATACGTATCACGATCAAGTGGTTCCAGTTGACACAACGTCTCAGCCTCATTACCTTATATACATCTTCTGCATGTAGTTTAATTATTTCATATGACTGCGACAATCAAAGGATTTCAGTAGTCCCATTGATTATTACTTTTGCTCCGTACATTTAAATCCTGAAAAACAATGAGACAGTGCCAGTGGTACCGTAAATAAGTTCATAAAGATCGATTCGGGCTTTCGTATTTACGCAGATATATTCACCATTCTAGAATTTACTATAGATTATATACCAATCTAGGTAGGTGACATTTTCAACCGACTAAACTACCCAATTCCCTAATCACTTAGTATTACAGGAAATCACTTTCAAAATATGTCAATAGACTCTAAATATCCAAGGAATATTCTCGAACGTTTTTCTTTAGGAGTCATTTTGTAGATATTTACTTGCTTAATTACGGATGAAATAATTTGTTAACAATTATTGTAAAGGCTTCATCGATATATATATATATATATATATATATATATATATATACTCGTGATCATATATATGCAGTATCTAAGCTTGACGAATATGTATGAGGTAGACCACAATTGACATTTGAAACTTCATACTTTCGCACGTGTATGCTTACCGACGCCTAATTAAAGGTTTTAGTTCCTTTTTCGAGGTCTGAAGTGAAGATTGAAACGCGTGATTAAATGATACAGTGAGATAATTGATGTTACTTTAGAAAAGGTTGAAAAAATATGAATTTCCGAGAATGAAATTATAATGCATATTACAAAAATGTTTGTCTTCTTTATTCCGAATCCGTAATAACGTTCTAACGACACACGCCCATTACACTTCAGATATCATTCATCCTATAATCTACCTACCTTCAATGTAAATAGTTCATGTCTTTTAAACTAAAATATGTAGTGTGTTAAGTAATCAAGCTTATCAGAACATTATATCAGTTTAGTAATAATATTTAACTACAGGAGTGGATTTTATATTTTGTCATTGTCAACAGTTGAAACAATCCTTATTAGCTAATCATAATACTACATTTGACCAGTATTCCAACTATTCAGTTAAGTATTCGAAACCTTGATCACTAATGATTAGTATTAACTAGTTACTGATAACAAAGGACAAGACTCTTCTGTAATACTCATGCACGATACTTCACAGGATAGGACAGCGAACCTTTATAGCTGAAGATGAGTACGGTACTAATTAGTCATTGATTTGAAAATTACTGGTCCACATTTCCCGATTGATAACATTAACTTAGCTACAACTTTTAGAAGACATTTCCATATGTTTTAAAAACTTTCCTTTTGGTTTAATGACAACTATTGAAAAGTTGAAGTTTAATCATTTGACAATCAAAAGAGCAACACAGATAATATTTTGTCCATCTTCCTGAATATTTTATTTTGTTTTTGTAATGATAAATTGATTTCTTACATTAAGATAATACGTATCCAATAACTGTTTATACATAGAAAGTAAACATACCATTTCAAATTTCATCTTAGTCAATCTGTATGGATCAACTTAAAATACTCTGTGACATTTTAAAGTTATTTTTTTAATTGATCATGGATTTCGCAAGAAAATCCAACTAACTGTTTGATTTATACGAATATTCGTCAAGATTAGAACGAATAGCTTGACAGCCTAAACAGAAAGGATGGTATTCAGCTAGCAACCATTTGGCAAATATTCATCAACAAGTAATTGGACCCTTTCTTTCTTTATTCAACCTGTTTATTTCACATGAATCGTTATTTTGACTGAAATTCAATATGAGTTATGTTTATCATTACAATTATGTACTTGATGATTCTCATTTTTACTTGCAATTCAATGATTCAGAAACAATTTTTCAACCTTCAATTTGCACTATTATTCTTATTTTTACTTCACATAGACACATATCAACACCGAATATCATTCATGAATAACTCATTCTTACACATACATACACACACACACAATTCATTCAGTCTCAATTTACTTCACATCATCGAAATTTTCACTTGATTCTCATTCAACTGACTCATATTATCCTGTTTACAAAAATTCGAAATCCAAATATGATTGGATTAAAGTAGTATAGATTTTGATATGATTGTTTAAAAAACACTATATATTTCTTTGGTGATTTTGATTTTTACCCTGAAGAAGTTCAAACAAGTTAGCTGGACGAAACGTTGGAATTATGTAAATTTCAATCGCTGAGATTATTTCAAATGTAATTTTCATATATAATGACCATTTGTTTTCTTATTGAACTAGTTTGATGTAATCGATTATGCAGATTAAAAACATAAAACTGTGAAAATATTTTATAATCAAAAAGATTATTTGTCTCTGGGATTTATCGAGGTTTTTTTAGGATTTAAATCAAATATCATACAGTTCATAAACTAATAATGGTGGATTATTGCTAGACAGAGTTAATACGTTTGACGTTGAATTAATTCTAGTCTGTATAACAAATGTAAGCAATAAGAATGAAGAGAAGGATAAACTAACTAATTAATTCCCCAAAATAAATGGTTTAGATATACAGCATTAGATGTTGGACTAGTTAGTTTTTATGAAATTAAATGTCATAAGGCGTAAAGTCAATCATCCACGTCATTTCTCGCTACGTCAAGGTCAGTCGGTCAGCGACAACGAAGGACCAGGCACATATATGCATCGGTCTAAGTTGCCTCACCTCATTAGCACAACAAGATGAACACCGGATTCATAGAAGTAGTTAATTTAGTGGTGGTAGTATATAAAGAAAGGTTGTATATAAGGATATAGTATAGGAAGGAAAAACGTTATGAAGCAATTTTAATCTCAAGGTTTAAGGGGAGATAGAGAGTGTATACACCTACGCCATTGTGATCGATTCTGAGCCATGTCACCCACAGTCTCCAACCATTGGTTACGATAGTCACGCGGACCCCAACCAGGTGGTCTGCATCTGCCGACATGGCTCAGACTAGAAGTTAGTGACATCAAGCACTGATGCCACGTTTTGGTTTGGCCGCCCCTAACTCTCTTCCAACGATCCCCTACACTAGTCAACATTGCGCGTCGTGGTAATTGGTGTTCAGGCATACGTAACACGTGGCCCGACCATCTCAGTCGATGAAGATTCATCACCTCATCAACTGATTTACCATCATTCCCAAATACCCTGCGTCTAATCTCACTATTACTTACCCGGTGATCCCAGCAGATGCGAGCAATATTTCTAAGGCATCTGTGGTCAAATACTAGTAACCTACGAGTATCTTCTACTCTTAATGGCCACGTTTTGCAGCCGTAAAGTAGAACAGAGCGAACTGCTGCGCAGTATATTTGTCCCTTAATTGATAGACGGATATCTTGTCTTCGCCATAAGTGACGTAAGTTGGCAAAAGCCAAACGAGCTTTTTGAATCTGTGCTGAGATTTTGTCAGACACCAACCTATTAGGGCTGATCAGACTTTCAAGATAAGTGAAGT